ATTCCTTATATATCACTCTCTTACACTCTCGTCATTGTGATGTACCATCGGTGTCATCTGGTTACTTCCTGAAATTTGAATATGATTCTTGAAGATGTGTGTGTAGTGATTTTACAGGTGATATATTTATTTTAGAGTTCGATTTCCGAGTGACTCCGAATTATCCTTAATTTATGGACATGAGTGTATTTCTTATAAGGTCCATGGATATATATCAAACAATGCTAAATTAACACAATAATTAAAAGTATATATGAGATCTTTAAGAATTGAAAAATGAATTTTACTGATAGTGAAAAAATAACTTAAATATTGAACTTACGAAGAAGTCGAGAAATTTGTAATTGATAGTAAGTCTGAACAATTATTGGGTACGTGCCAGCTAAACGTTACTGTCGGATTTGTGTCCTGTCGAATAAATGTGTTTATAGTTAAGTGTCCCGTAGTTAAATGTCTTGACGGCTAACTCTCTGTGTCAGCAAAATGTCCTGTCGGCTAAATGTCCTGTCGGCTAACTGTCCGTGTCGGCTAAATGACCTGTCGGTTAAGTGTCTGCGTCGGCTAAATGTCCTGTCGGCTAAGTGTCCGTGTCGGTTAAATGTCCTGTCGGCTAAATGTCCTGTCGACTAAGTGTCCTTGTCGGCTAAATGTCCTGTCGGCTAAGTGTCCCTGTCGGCTAAATGTCCTGTCGGCTAAATGTCCATGTCGGCTAAGTGTCCCTGTCGGCTAAATGCCTTGTCGGCTAACTGGTGTCGGTTAAGTGTCCTGTCGGCTAAGTGTCCGCGACCGAATTCAAATTATTCACATCCTACATTCAATATTTACATTAAATTGCTTTGGGTTAAAAATATTATTTAAGTAGTTTTAACTGTACTGATATGAATGTCAGTTTCCAAAATCTCCTGTGAAAAATGGGGATCTCTTGATCATCGATGAGTATAGATTGTGATTTTTGTAACTAAGATCCCCGACTTTTTTTTTCAGGTCTCAAACTTAGAATTAGGAGCAAATTTAAATATAGTGTGACGGAATTTGTTAAACTTCTACTATAATAAATTACAACGGTTAAATTATAAATTAATTTTATATTTAACTAATATTTAAGAAAAATAAACTGTAAAATTTATTTTTGCTGAAATGCTCTCACACTGTGTATGGATTTATGATTTTGTCAATTACTGTTTTTCTGAAATATACATGAATTTTTTGGTAACGGTAATAGTTAATGTTACTTTAGTTAAAATATTATGTACATCTCTGTGAAGATATATGTCTTTTCTAGTTAGGTCTCAAGATATGGGCATAAACATTACCATGTAGGAATTCATTTTTTTTTTTTTTTTAACTTAGCTAAAGTTTGCTGCTTAAAGACATTAATTTTTGCAAATGAACTCCTTTTAACTACACTCATGGACCCAACGCATTTTAGGATATTTTCTACTTCTTTTCCTTTTCTTTCTATAGGGCCCTTCCCCCCCTCTATTATTTTTGAGCCATTTATTTTAAATTTTATTTTGTCCCATCTTTTCTTTATGGCCTTTTGAACTCGTACAAAATGTACGAAGCTCCTTTTTACTCTCCTCAAATACGAAATTGCCCCTCTTTCTATATATACCTTTCCTTCGCACCTATGCTTGATTTTTCGCCCATCGGTGCAGAAAGACTTAGCGGGTGCAAAACAAGACATCTGTCTACTTTGTCTGTCTGTCAAAATCTCCTGTATAAAACAAGTTAAATTCATGTATAATTTTCGGTTAAATTCTTGTAAATATTATAATGCAAGATTTATAATTATCAGATTTTTTAATGTGGTCTGCTTTTAGATATTACATCAGTTTTGTATTTTTATTCAGATCTTAAAGTGCTTGGTTTTGGTTTTATGTAATTACGGCAAAGCCTCGAGGGCTATCTGCCTAAAGTGAGGGTTGCCTTCGTGGAGGACTTTCTAAGGGAAACTAGCTCGTATACACGTAACACATGGGGAAAACCACGAAAACGCCCATGCAGCCAGCCCGTTCGCGGGATTCCAACCTTGCACCGAACTTCCAATGTTCAGGGATTTTACCGCTCGGCCGCTTGTAGGATCGATTTAAAAAGGGTATAAATAAGAATATGTACTGCAATTTCTTTCACTGCATCTGATAATATATTTATCATACAGTTATATATATAAATATATATATATATAGTGCCTTAACCTCCTATACTTCTGAAGTTACCAATGATATGTTGGTAATGAGGCCCATGCAGCCAGTCCGTTCGCGGGATTCGAACCTCGGACCGCACTACCAGTGTTCAGAGATTTTACTGCTTGGCCACTAGTGGGATCGATTTAAAAAGGGCATAAATAGGAATGTGTACTGCAATTTCCTTTCACTGCATATGTTAATATATTTATAATACATTTAGTTACTTATTTATTTAAAACAGGTTTTGTATGTCTTAAATTTTTATGCTTTTGGAATTTACGAGAAATATGTTGGTAATGAAGCCCATGCAGCAAGCCCGATCGCGGGATTCGAACCTCGGTCCGAACTATCAGTGTTCAGAGATTTTACCGCTCGGCCGCTAGTGGGATCGAATTTAAAAAGGGTATAAATAGAAACATGTACTGCAATTTCTTTCACTGCATATGCTGATATATTTATAATACAGTTATATATGTATATAGTTATTTATTTAAAAAAAAGGTTTTGTACGCCTTAAATTTTTATGCTTTTGGAAGTTACCAGAAATATGTTGGTAATGAGAGTATATTAGTAATGATATGATATATTGGTAATGACAGATATATTGATATATTGGTTATTAGAGATATGTTGGTAATGCAGCCAACCCGTTCGCGATATTCGGACCTCGGACTGAACTACCAGTGTTCAGCGATTTTACCTCACGGTCGCTGGTGAGATCGATTTAAAAAGGGTATAAATAGGAATATGTACTGCAATTTCCTTTCACTGCATATGTTGATATATTTATAATACAGTTATATATATATATATATATATATTTATTTTATTTATTTATTTATTTAAAACAAGTTTTGTTTGCCTTAAACTGTTTTGCTTCTGGAAGTTACCAGAGATATATTGGTAATGACAGATATATTGGGCTGAGAAATAAATGTCAAGTTGGTGCATTTGAGAGGTTACATATGCTATTTGTTCTGGTATTTTCACCAAATAGATAAATTTACATAGTTTTCAACAAAACAAAATCAAATTACGATTCAATCGAAAGTTTGGATTTTCTGGTGTCATCAGCGCTATAGGATGGTACCCACGTATCTATAATTGCATCTACTAACACGGAAGAATGCCAGAGTTCATTTATATAAGCAGAAAAATCTTTTCCATTATCTTAATATGCAGCTGTTATGCAATTTTTCCTTCCATTTTATATAATATATATATGTTTATGTGTGTGTATTTATATTTAAGATGTTATGTTTTGTGATTTAACCTATAGCTATTTAATTCTTTATATTTTCCTTCCCCTTACTTTTGTTAAAAATTTCTTATATTTTTACTCACTAGTAAATCGTCTTTTAATGCATCAATCCAAAGTTTTCTGCTTATTGGTATTTTCGATACATAGTATATTTGTAGCTACGTGATAGGTATAATTCCTGAATAAATAAAATTATTGATATAATGATGGGCTGCTAAAAATTAAAAAAAAACTTTGATTCAAATTCAATAGGAATATTAAACACGCGTACGCGATGCTATATTTTAATGATTTGATTTATGACACTATTACATAACCTTTTAAGACAAAAAATATTTTAACCATAAAACTGTTAACAAATAGTTTACAAACATGCAACCTTTTAGAAAATTTCCATTTTGCAAAAGATCATACGTAAAATTATGCTTACGCTCTTCACATATCTGCAGTTTTGTGTAGAATATCCATTGACTCTTCCCATTTCTTTTTTCTGTTCTCCTTACTAAATGTTCTGTTAAGTTTATCACTTAACAGCTGCAGAGTTTTTCGAAAAATTTCACCATTTACTCCAACTGATTGTTTTTTTTTTTTTTTTTTTTTTTTTTTTTTTTTTTTTTTGATACCGCCATCCTCATTGAAAAGCACGTACGAAGCTGCACTTTTGACAACAAACTACCCCCCCCCCCTTTGCCTGAGCCTCGAGCAATGTAGAGGTTAGACAGACTGGTTGCTATGCAATAAACGTCACTTCCGCACGGAATCTCCACTTCATTTTCCGACGACGGAATTTGAAGGGGTCAGACTCGCTCTTCCGTTTGCTGTCGAGTGGAAAGAGAATCCCAACTGGTTTTCCGATATCGATCTCGACGGGTGTCCAGACTAGACCCCTTGAACGATTTAACGCCCGCTTCCCAAAGCCCACCCAAATGTGGGGCTCTAGGGGGTATAAATTTCCACTCAATCTCCTCTGACAACAAATAGTCGGATAATCTTTGTTCTGGTACTGTGGTTAATTTAAATAGCTTGCTTAATTCATTTCGAACTCCACGAAAATTTGTAGCATTATCGCTAAATATAGTTGAGTTTTTACCTCTCCTAGCGAAAAATCTCTTTAGGGTAGTTAATTAATGCTTCCGAAGATAAGTCTGAGACAATTTCTAAGTGAATTGCTTTTGTAACAAGGCACACATTACTGCAACATACATTTTTAGAAAAACTCCTTTTCTTTGATTTTTTGCTTTTATAAGAAACGGACCACAAAAATTGAGTCCACATTTGTTAAAGGTTGATTGATTCAACTGACACTCGTTCAGCAGGCAGATCACCCATTATCTGATTTACTGGTACAGGTCTGTGTTTGAAACACTGTACGCATTCATATACTATTTTTATAGCAAGATTCCTGCCGCTGATGGGCCAAAACTTTTGTCTAACAGTACTCAATAGAGCTTCTGGTCCAAGATGCAAATATTTCAGATGATAATAGCACATGATCAAATAAGTCAACCTATGTCTAGCTGGCAAAATGATTGGATATTTACAATCATAATTTACCTGAGACTGCGCCAGTCTGCTACCGACGCGTAAGATTCCATCATTATGAATGGATTTAACGATTTAAGCTTGCTCCTACGAGGTACCTGGCTATCCCTCTTAAGTGACTCGATATCAGAATAAAACTCATCTTTCTGCACTTCCTTAGTCAATGTTAACTCGGCCCCTTTCCGTTCCTCTAAGGATATAGTCCCTGAAACCCTTTCCTTATTCCTAATGATTCTGAAGAACCTAAAAATTTTGATTAATTTCATATAATTATTTGTTCGATTTAAGAGAGAAGCTAAACTAGAATTATTTTCTAATATTGCAAAATTAGAGTCTGATAAACATTTTAGTTCCTTGACATAGTCATTATCAGTCGTAGGCGCAAGAGGTTGTTCTGGATAATGCACGTCCTCACGAAGAAGGTCTGGTCCATTCCACCAGATATCACACGTAAGAATGTCGTTTGCATGCAGTCCACGCGATATGACATCAGCTGGGTTACATTCAGATGGCACATATTTCCATTGGTATGATTCCGTAAGCTCTTGTATTAAAGCGACTCTGTTACTCACGAAAGTTTTTAGTAAGCGTGGTGATTTTCTAATCCAAGCAAGAGAAATCGTAGAATCAGACCAAAGAATTACTTTTTCTACTTTAACATTCAACGAAGATATCACTTTATCCATCAATCTGGATAATAGAAGGCAACCTGGCAACCTTGATAAGGTTTTTATAGGTGCAACTCGTGACTTGCTACACAAAAGTCGAACGGTTGGCAATCCCGAAACTGGCAAAGCTTGAACATAGATTGCAGCTCCGTATGCCGAAGATGACGCATCTGCAAATCCATGGAGCACTATGTGATTTTTCTGGAATACAAATCTAGGAATCTTAAGATTACTTAGTTCAGAGAGCGTGGATACGAAATTAATCCACTCCTTGGCCATAGAATCTGGCAATGCGTCATTCCAATCAGTTTAGCAAGCCAGAGCTTTTGCATGAATATTTTGGCCTTTGTCACCCCTGGCCCAATTAAACCAAGTGGATCGAACATTTTCGAAATTAGTGACAGAACATCTCGTTTACTATAACTGTTAGAGTGAGGAATGGTCATTGCAAACAAAAAAAAAGTCAGTCTGAGGATTCCATATGACACCAAGAGTTTTCACGGACAAAGATTCTTGTTGCTCTGCAAAAGTGTATTCTGAATGAGGGGTAACCTTATTTTCAGACACAAGCAGATCTGGATGATTTGCACGCCACTTATGCAATTCCATTTTACCTAATTTTAACAAATCTATTAATTGGGATTGTAGAATTCTAGCCTTTTCGAGTGATGATTCTCCAGAAAGTATGTCGTCGACATAGAAGTCAGTAAGAGCGACGGACGATGCTAGAGGTAAGTTTTGGCTTTCATCTATAGCTAACTGTTTAAGAGCTCGAGTTGCTAGATAGGGAGCGTTTGACGTCCCATACGTTACTGTGTTGAGCTTATAAGTTTGCACTGGTGCATCAAAACTGTCCTTCCATAGAATTCTGAGCCAGTCTCTGCCTGGAGAATGGACTAGAATCTGTCGATACATTTTTTGTACATCTGCTGTGAAGGCGTAGCGGTGTTTCCTAAATCTAGCCATTATAGAAAATAATTCCTGCTGTGGAATTCTTCCTTTCAACAAAATATCGTTTAATGACAATCCCGATGTCGTGTCAGTGGAGGCGTTAAAAACCACTCTTAAACGTGTACTACTTTCGTTTGGTCTGTAAACCCCACGGTGAGGCAGGTAGTACGAATCAGTTATGGATTCAGATCCCTCAGCTAGATCCATATGTTTTAAATCCTTGTATTCTTGCATGAATTCTGAGAACAATCGTTGTAAATTCGAGTCCCGACCCTATCGCTGCCAAACCTGATTAAGTCTTTTCTCTGCTAAATATCTAGACTCGCTCAACAATTCAGAGTCCTTCATGGGCATGCACACGACGTACTGACATTCCGAGGTTCGATAATGAGTTTCATTAAAATGTTTTTCACAATATTTTTCTTCAGGACTAAGTGCTGAATCCGGAAAATTAATATTTTCTACCTCCCAGAATTTTTGCAATGTTTCTTCAATTTTTTTCATTTTGCGTAAGCAGACCATAGTATTGTGATTCAGGTGGTGAATTATGCACAACACCACTAACTACGAATCCAAAAACCGTTTCCTGGAACAATAAGTCTTTTGTCGTGCTGCGAACTTGACCCGATTTTAATAAGAAACATTCTGCACCCAATAATAAATCAATTTCCTCAGGTGTGTTAAATCTGTAATCAGCTAAGGAAATATTCCTGGGGATGTCAATATTTTCAATAGGTATGGGGGTCAGGGGAGTCATTTCTGTAATTTTGGGAACAATAAAAAAATCAAGCTCTATAGAGAATGTTTTTTCCTTATTGGCAATTGAAGTCCTCAATTTATAATTTAAAGTAATATCAGTTCCATTTAATCCTGAAATTAGCGAAAACCTTTGTTTTTTTAATCCCTAATTGTTTTGCAAAATGATCAGACACGCAGTTAATCTGTGAGTAGCTGTCAAGAAGAGCCCTTCCTTTGATGAATGTTCCCTTCGAAGTTTTTATCATAACAATCGCAGATGGCAAGGTAACACTTTTATTGGTAGCTAATAAACAATTTGAAAGACTCGTCGCTTTCCCATTAGGCGCCGGAGGAATATCCTTCCCGCCAGCTGTCTTCTGCTCTATCGTCTGCGGATGCTTATTTGAAATAGAATCCAAATTCGATTACTCATCCTTATGTAGCAATGTATGATGTTTTGAATGGCAAATATTGCAAAAATGATTCGATCGACATTGCCACGTAAAGTGCTTTTCTCCCAAACAGTTTAGACACAAGTTATTTCGCTTTACAAGCGTAAATCTTTCACCAAAATTCATATCAAGGAATTTACTACATTTAAAAAGAGAATGTGACGAATTACATACAATGCAATTTTTTTCCGAATTATTTGAATGAATAAGAAGGTTTTTTGTTTTTATTTCATTCACTTGTTTTGATTTTGTTGTGTTTTTTTGGATACTTTCCAAAGTTTGACTTCTTTTTTCTAAGAATGTCATCAAGTTATCAAAATTATGAACATCTGAAGTGTTTACAGATAATTCCAACTGCTTTTTTCTTGTTTATTTTGTCTAAAATGACAGTAGTAATATAAAATATCAGAGAATTTGTTTCGTTCGAAACCCAAATTATTTAAAGCTCTAATGTCTTTATTCATAGCATCTACTAGACACCTTAATTTTTTCGATGATTCATTAATAATTTTTTCGAATTCTAAAATAGCTTTAATGTGAATATTAACAAGAATTCTGTTGTTTTCGAAGCGATTTTCTAAAGCCCTAAATAATGATTCAAAAATATCTTCCTGAGTTTGCAACAATTTTGCTTCTCCCTTAAGAGCGGCATGCAGATAATGCAGCTTTTGTGCATCTGTTAATTGAGTATTCGAGGTAACAATATTATTAAATTCAATTTTAATCATGCTCCATTCTTCATACTTTCCGGTAAATAGCAGGAAGTGGAATTTCAGGTAACTTTATTTTACAATTACACTTTGCGATATCAACTTTATTAATAATAGCAACATTATCAATTAACATTTGATTGAAACTTACCTCTAGATCGTCGATTCTTGCTTCTGAATCTAATAATTCCTCTTCTAATTCAGAAATATCATCTTTTCAGGCACAGCAATATAATATTCCGATCGAAGTGTATCCAATGCAACAGACATCTTTTCCAAATCCTTGAGCTTGGCATCTATTTTGATTTTAGTCCATGTACTGGTACTATCCGCTATGACAGTCTTTATTCTAGTTAATTGGGCTTTTTAGTGAGCCCTTCTTTCGATTTAAAGCAACTATAGTGGCCATTTTATACTAATACGAACATGGTTAACAAAAACAAAACAACCTCCGGCTCGACGGACCATAAATTTTGTTTGGTATAAAATGCGATGAGTTACGAGAGATAATGGCGCTGGTTCCAAAATAAAACTAACTAAGTTAGGCCACACAAATATTTAATTATTTACATAATGTACAAAGTTACAAGTTAAGTGCTCCATTAGCACAGACAAATGGAACGAGCGCACGCAACATAGGTTCGCTGCGTACATTCTTCAACAACCAACTCAACTAACTTTGGCTCCTCTCACAAGAGGGCGCTGATCCTAGAGGGCACTATATTAAACCGAACAAACATTATAATAAATGAAAGAAAAGAAAAAGAAGAAATTGAAGAACGAAAACGTCAAGATGAAGAACGTAGGCGAAAAGAAGAATATGAGGAACGAAATCGAAAGTATGAAATGGAATTTGAACTGCAAAAACTAGGTATTGAACCAGAAAGTAGATCTACAAATTCTGGCACCAATGGAAATGCTAGTGGTACGCGCATGAATCCAAAGTAAGAGCTTCATCGTTTGATGCAAAAAATTAAACCTGACGAGAATGATATCAGTTTATATTTAATCATGTTTGAACGTTTGGCTAAACAAATTGAAATACCAGAAAATATATGTATTACTCATTTGTTTGGCTTATTGACGTATGATATTGCTCAGTTAATCGCCAGAGAAACGGATGAGATTGCAAACGATTATAAAGAAGTTAAAAGGATCAAGATGACACCTGAAAAATTTCGCCAAAAAGTTTATACGCACAAAAAGAGTGTAGGAAACACATGGAAGAATTTTGCGTATGAGTTAAGGATTTTTTTAATGAATGAATAAGTGGAAGTTAAGTAGATACTTTTGACAAACTGAGCGACCTTATTATATCGAATCAGATAAAACGTTAAGTGTCTCCAAAAATAAAAGATCATTTTATTGACATCTGGTCTAAGTTAATTTCAACAACTGATTTAGTTTAAAAACTAGATGATTATAATACCTTGAAGTCAACTTTCAACAATAAACAGCCGCGTAAAGAAGGGTCTTACGACAAACGAAACTCCTTTAAAGATGGTCCAGTTACTACAATCAACGAAAAAAAAAAAAAAACTCTACGAAAAAGGTGAACCAAAATGCTTCAGCTCTAATACTTTTGGACACATTTCAAGGGACTGTCCGCTGCCCAAACAAGTAGTAACATGCCGAAAATGTAATAAAACAGGTCATAAAGCTAAAAATTGTGTTACTAAAGTTGAAAATAATCATTCAAATGATAAAAATTATTCTGTTGAGCAAGTTGGCGAACATTCAGAAGACAGCAATTCATATTTGAAGAAAGCAAAACTGAATAATTCTGAAGAAGTACAGGCTTTTAATTGGTGCTACTTTGGTAGACGGTTGCACGGAGTTTTGGCGATTTACATTGGCGCAACTGTTGGCGAGGTTTTTACAGTCGTCAGCCATCTCGAAAAATGCTATTTTTACGTATTTCAGGCCTAGTAAAGTATTCGAAACTTTAAAAAAATAAATATCGTTAAAAATAATGGATTAATTTTTTGTTGAAAACGTTGTTTTTTAAGATGGCTGGCAAATGTAAATAAATACATTTACTAAAAGTATAAAATGCTAAAGTAAGGTTAAATTATTACTTTCATATAATAGAATAGAAACACTGATATAAAAACATTGTGCCAACATTTAATTGGAATAAAATATTACTGAAATTGAATATTGAATTAAAAACATCATACCAACGTTTAAAGGAATTAAAATTTTTCAATTACTTAAATTCAGATCCTTTAAAATAAGTTTTATAGGATATAATTATTTAACATTAAAACATTATGTGGCAATAAACATCTCAGGAATTTTTAAAAACAGTGTATTAATTTTTTAATAAAAATTGAAGCATACAATTATAAAGTAAAAGAAAAATATGTACTTACATTTTTTTAAGTATTTTACCTGTCGTATATTGATAAGTACCAGAAAAAAAGAA